ATAAAACCGAGTAAGGCTGACACTGACAAAGCAGTGACACTGACCTGCAGAGTCAAATCCAGAGACCTCCTCGAAGACGTGCTGGACTCCCCATGAGGTCTCTGTCTGAAAGATTTCGTGTAGGAAACTGGTCCAAGGTGGGGATGACTTGCACTCTAGTGCTGACGATTAGGGAGGGAATGGAAATAGAATTACAGTTCAATAGTAAATATATACACTTTAAATAATTTAAGACTAATAATTAATAGATTTACAGCTGTAAAAGCACACTACATAATGTAACTGTAGCTCAGTAATAGTGGTGCGGTTTTAGATTATCCATTATTTCATTGAGTTTTTTCACCATGTGACTTAAACATAACCTTTTGAATCAATTGCATCTAAAGCCTCTAATCTACAGTAGAAAGCTGCACCCCAAAGTAAGAGCATCACACGTAGCAGTCAAACACGTTCCAGTATCAGGCCATGCATGTTTATCTGCATCGCTGCCCCAGCTCTCAGCAATCAGAAAGAGGGTACAGGACCAGTTTTCATTGAACACAGTTCTGTTAGTAAGTGAGGCTTCCTTTAACATCTGCTTAAGCATGAGAGACCTCAACACTGAACGGCTGGTAAAACCTACCTTGAGGTCAATCCATGCAGTTGGACACCCTACGTGGAATAAACAAGACCTTTTCTAAGTCCCTAAACAGTAAGTATTAGATAAAGTAGGAACGGTCAAGTACTTCAGAAACCAAAAAAATGACGGTAAAGAGATACTTACCCATTCACTCCTGAGGAAAGGTAGAAGTCATAGCTCACTAACAACTTCATACATGAAACACATGCAGTGTGAAAATACACATGCGTTTTCTTGGGGTTTGGTCTGCACAAACTGCTTTGGAGTCAGGCTACAACATTCTGAAATAGCTGCAGGTTTACACTGATGGAAAGCAGAGGCTCTGGCTATTCTGGCACTAGTTTTGGGGATTGCCACGTGACTTCTGTACAGTAGCCATGCTCTGCTATGTGCTTGTAGTCATGAGGCCTTTTAGATTCTGATTAATGTTTTAAGTTGGTATTTCAGTTTCAGCCATATATAGCTGTATGTTTCCTAAAAAGTACGCAAGAAGTTTGCAAAGCATTTTGCACGTCAGCAGTTGAAAGTTATTTCTGTCATATTAACAAAATGCACACTGGAAAAGCATGTAAACACACTCACGCCATTCTGTAGCAAATCTAAGGGAAAGGGTAGTGTAAAAAAAACCTTAGAATTAAATATTACTACTTTGACATAGTATTATTTTGCAATACATAGACTTGACATCACAGATACACTTTCTTTTATGTAATAATCAACAGATCTAAGCAATATTGTTCAACTATCGTTATATATGTTTGAGAAATCTAGTTTAATATTACGGTATGTGTGGTTTTAATGACGAGGCATACATTTCACTGAAGTTAAAAATGCCTGCAAATACGTACTCTTTTATCTGACAAGTTTCTTGACAAATGGCATGGCAAACAATACCACAGCAGAATCTTGCAAAAAACTGTTGCTGTGGATCCAAGATATACAGCAGTGGTCACTTCACAGCTGTGTGCAAAGAGGTTTGCAGACTGCCATGACATAGCACATGGTAAGAGCAGATAACACTGAGTCTAACATAAAAAATAGAAGCTTAGGCTAAATAAAGATATACTGTCAGCAAAAGGGAGTAACTAGCATAGCTCCAAAGACAGTGAGAAAAATCAGTTTACATTTGTTTAAAAAGCCTACAGAAAAAAGACACGATGAATTTCTCACTAAAACTTGCACATTTATAACATACAGACTGTAACAGTATTAATATGGAATGCAACATTTATCAAGTTCTAGTCAATGAATAATCTAGTTTCATTTGAGCGAAGTAGAAGTGTACTTTCCTCCCTGTTTTGCAGTACTATCGCCGTTGTCCATTCGGTAGACCTTTCGTTAAAAAGCAAGAGAAAACATCTAAAGTTTTAAAAATATTGATAAAAACTCTACATATAGCAAATAAACTCTTCATATATTTTTGTCTGACAAATTCGCAACTAATTATAGGTAGGTTCATACGCTTAAAGAGTAGCTGTGGGATCGGCTCTTGTATTTGCTTAAGCTTTAAAAGAAATCTTCAGAGAAAAAGGATATTATATTGAAAGCTCCTGAACTGTACTATACATAACTTTTTCTGTAAGTGGTAAAAAACATCAGCAGAATACAGCACTTATGAAAATCGATTTCCTGAGCTCTCTTCTGCTGCTTGATCCCACAGCTTTAATATCAAATTAACATGTAGTGACAAGTGTAACGTGTACCATGACATGACATGTATATGGCATGCATGTGACTTGTGACATGTATGCAACATCAATGGGATGTGACATCTGTGACATACATGCAACATGTGATGTGACTGACGTGATGTAACACGTGACATACGCTACACATGAAATCTATGTGACACTATGTGAACCATAATGTATGCGACATGCAACACACAAGACATGCATGAGACATGCATGACAAGTGACATAAGAGGCATGACACGCAAGACATGCGTGACAACAGAAGACATACAGGCAACACAATCGTGTAACATGACAGGTATGTGACATGACCTATGTGACATGTTGTATTTTACATGTGAGACTCAACATGTGTGACGTTACAGGTACATTACGTGTATGTCAGACTGACATGCACGTCACTTGTGCCATGTATATGTGTATAGGTATAGCAGGTGTGTATGTATACAGAAATAATATGCACACGCACTCCCCCATGTATGCAGGTGTATACATATTCTCACCAGCGGCCCTCCTTGCTCCTCAAGCAGGGAGAGGAGAGGCTGAGCTCCCACCGGGAGGTCGTTGGTGCTGTTCACGTTCCCATGCCTGTCTCTGGTCTGTGCAGCCAGCCATGAATGCATTTATGTATGATGTATAAGATCTGTGTGCATGTACCTGTTGGTAACACATCCTCAGCTTCATTACTGGAACTGTAGCGTTCCTGAGTCTCTCAAGTTTTTAGAACTATACATTTTGGAATCACTGAAGTAGCTGAGGAAAAACCTGGATAGAGCACCTCCATGCTTACATATGCTAGCTCAGTGTATTCCGCACATGCTGTTACTTAAACAAAAAACAATTCAAGATACAAGAAGTGGATCCGTTCTGTTGTCATCAACTCATTTCTCAAGGATACAGCTATCACACCCAGCACAACACATTGTTTTCACAACAGAACCTCTCTCATCTGAAGAAGGAACTTAAGTTTCATAAATATTTTCATTTGCTGTTCCATTAATAAAATGGCTGAAGTACACAAAAAAGCTCAGTTACTTGTACATATTTAAGGCTTCCAGCTTAACTACAGAAAACACTTTGGTGATGACATCTCAGCACAAGTCTAAGCCCACACAGAAAAATGGTCCAGAAGTGTATAAAACACTAACACATTGTCAAGGAAGTTTATTGAAGTTTTAGTACCCCTGAAAAAAGGCAACACTGCGCTCCAGCCTGGAACATGACGGCTTTTCTCATGCATTCTTAAAAAGAAAACATTACATGAAGCAAATATTATGTGCAGCATGTGCCACAAAAAGAGAACGAAACACCACCACCCCATCCCTCCAAGTTAAAAGATAGTAACAGAAAACAAAAGAGCAGAATAGCAAAAAAAAAAGGCCAAGGACAGGGTAGTAACAAGCCAGTGACTTTCAACAACTTGAAAATCAACATAAGATTGGCTCCAGCAAAGACTCCACATACTAGTTAGAAAAAAACAGAATAAGGAAAAAAAAATACCAGGAGGTGGTTGTTTTAGAATGCACTTAGAATAAGAAGCTGAAACATGACTACAGCATTATGCTACTACTGGTGTATGAAAACACCACATAACAGCTTCCCACACTTGTATGATATACAAAAATCATGTAACATAATGAAAGTGTACTATCCAGCTCAAATACACTAATGTTCTACAACACCACACAAAACACAAGGATAGTACTTAACAACATCCTTTTAAACATCACTATAAAGTTACCATATCCTTACCGCAGCTCACAAGAAAGCAACCTCCCTCTCGATAGGCAACATTTTTCAGATTACTATGTAAGCAGACAATTTTGCGAGGACTCGTCAGTACAGTGATAAAGTAGTCCATGGGTGAAGAAGTCCAACTAATCTACAAGCACTAACATCTGATGGTTTTGGGGGCAGCCCACAAAAACTGAAGTGACTTCTGTACTACATCACACTATTTTGTAATTTACAGCTTTGACACCTTAATAATTCTTTAAAACCACTATCAAAAACAGCAATTGCCACCAAACAGCAGAGTAACAGTTTGGTAATTCAAAGTTTCACATTTGGAAGTACCTAGATTATTTTTAATCCTTCCAGCATAAACAATATACAGTGAACTACAAGCCAATTGGCAAATCCACGCTAAACAAAAGTCTTAAAATGACTAGGAAAGGATGCCTACAGATAAAGCACAGATTGCCAATTTTTGTTTTTGAAAGTGATTCTCGCATTGGTATACTTTGCTTAAAAAAAAAAAAAAAAAAGAAATCCAACTGTAACTGAATTTTTTTTTCCTTCATTGAAGACAGTTATGAAAAAGGTGGGGAAAAAGAAGGAATCAATACACAGCAATCCTGAAACTAACAGGAAAAAAACACGTTAATAACTCCACGGGGTGTGGGGTGGGAGTTGGAGTGAGGGAGCAGAAATGATGTGGCATTGGGAGGCAAAACAGAACAGATTTGGAAAGCTATTAGGTACTCCTACCTATAAGGAAACATCAACTTTTGGAAAAGACTAAACTGTTACAGATGGTTTCATAACAGCACTTAAATTGACAACAAGCTCTGGAATGATTTTCTTGCTGCAAATATAAACCCTACAGTTAAACATTTTACTAATCAGAGTTACATTTTACTAAAAGAAATCATTCAAACCGACTTCGCATACAATCCACCTCACAGTCAGTCACTGAACTGTTCGCTATGTGGAGACTTCACAATCCAGGATCCATAACTATGTTGCTCTAAGTAGTTTTGCAGCATGTTTTTAGCTTTTTGGTACAATTCAGATTGAATCTAAAAAAGAAAAAGAGAACTTGAAAGATCTCAAGAATGACGGTTACACACATCTGTGCTTTTGCAGAAAACGGTACCTACATATTTGACAGTTCCCTCAGTTTCTGACAGTGAGGGAAAGTGTTACAGACTCTAAAAACATACTCTTTTTGTATGTTTGGGCATTTATAAGCATGGAAGAATTGTTCTGTTAAAAATTATTTTTTTAGCATCTTTTCAGTTCCAATAATATCTTTACACAGAAAATAAACATTCACTATCATTCAATGCAAATCTAAACACATGAACAGTCGTTTAGCAAGCCATTCCACTTTAAAGTAGTTTTTGAATCATTTAAAAAATTATGTCTTGCATGTTCTGACAGAAGGAAAAGAAGATACATACTTTATAAAAGCTTAAGTTTGACACAGCAATTTCTGAAATAAAATATATCTCTTGAACTAAGGAGAGAAAAAACCTGGAAGAGTACAGAGAAGTAAGATGAGCCTACATATTTCCAAGTAGGGCCAGAAGTGAGTGAACTGTGTTCACAGCAATCAGGAATCACAGTAGCTCCTTTAAGAAATTTTTCTGTATTTTTATAACTCAAAGGAAAGCCTGGGACCTAATGCTGTCTTCCGATGAACGATTCCTACTTTCCTACTCCTCTAAGGCATAAGAATCGTCCCACAAGGCTACACTGTGGTAGAAAAAAACCTACATATGTATGAAACAACTATAAAAAGTAAGATTAAAATGAAGTAATGAACAAAAAAACTCCACTCTTTTTAATATGAAACTATCTTATGTGAGGAAAATGGCCAGCAACCTCCATATGCTAAGAAAAACATGACAGTTTTTCATAAAGAACGTTTCAAGATTAATTCAGTAGATTAATTTTACGTGAAACCAGCAATTTCAGACATTCTCAGGCAAAGATTGTAAGCAATAAAGCAGATCCAGCTGTCCAGGCGACGTCTTCAGCAAATGAGAAAGTCACCCTTGGCTCTCAAACCACCTTTGAGAGTAGCCATTAAGAGACTCCTTACTAAAACTCTCCCCCCCATACCAGCTTACCTTAGCTTCATGGTACGTTGCAACTTGAAGCAAATCATTCCGTTCTGCTTTCTTAGCAAGCAATCTGAAACGACTAAACATTGCTGCCTTGCAAAGCCGACTTGCCATGTAAGTGCCACTTTTGAACGGTGAACTATAGTCAAAATGAAAAAAGAATAATAAAACTTAGTAAAAATACATTACCGGTATATTGCTTTGATCGTTACAGGATTTTTTTTTCCCCTCCAATGCTCTGTGAATACGATCATCTGATTGTACTTCCACTTTCAATAAGCAAAGCTAATGCAAATCAGCAGCTGTGAGAATTTAAGAGAGCCAACAAAAAAGAGTTTTCAAACTGGAATTAATCTGAACTAGGATGCTAACTGGCTGTAAGTATTGTGAAAACTAAAGCATTCAGTACAACTGACAATGGAATAAACGTATCTCAATCCAATAATTATTGAATTTCATATCTTGGTATCTGACTGTAAAGTTACAAGATCTCTAAAACTACATCTAATCATAGGATGCATTCACCTAACACAGGAGAGAATCTCATTTGGGTAATACTGTGGCATTCATGTATAGCTTAAAAAGGGAATACTCCGATGAACTGCAAAGAACAATAAGGCTAACCATTATTTCCAACATAATGAAGAAAAATTCTAACCTTTCGGTGGTTTTTCCATTTAATCCATCCACAACCTCCAGTGATGCATCTGACAACGACCAATTCAAACTAAGAAACCACTGCTGAATGTCCACTTCAATTGGGTGTGCAGCGTTCACCAAGTAAGTATGAGATCTGTTGACCAGATAAGGCATGGGAAGCTCTGATGTAAGTGCATCATCAACACGCTGTTTTACAGCTATTTCTAGCCCTCTTGTATCCTTGCAATTTCCATTTCCTGTGAAAAAAAAACAAGATCAGTCACATGTAAGTACATCAAACTGAAAAAAAAGCCAAGAATACAAATGTTTCCATTGGTCCCCATTATATTCATTTTTCTACATAAAATTAATGTTTGGAAAAATCAGTTCCAATATTCAATTTGCAGAACAAAAACTATTTCACTGCTTCTTTTCCTCAGGCATCATTGTTTTCATTGGATGCCTTTTTGGAACAATTATTCTTCATCAACTCTTTACATTCCTTGCAGAAGACACCATTAAAATAGAAGCTGCAACACAAACTTTAATGTTCTAGATTAGCAAATACGCTAAGGAGTTTGCCCACATTACTCCACAACCAACAGTATTTCTGACTGCCTATTAAATAAACATACTTTGGTCCACAGCATCTTAAGGAACAGTCATAGAATTTCTATTAAATAGAAAGGCAATACATTATAGACGATCATGTTTACTTTGAATACCAATTAAGTGAGCACATCAGAAGTTTTTCTATCGCTTTTATGTAAAAGTGCCCAAACTTCCTCAGAAAGGACAGGCAGGCATTCACCAATTCTGGCAAGATCTTTTGGAGCACGTCAAAAACCTTGTTCTGTGTTAGAAAAGTAAAATCTGCTACAGCTTCAATGTCTGGGAAACTCAGACATCTGCGTACCAAGTTTCATAATACAAATGCTGACGGGAAGAAACACCTGAAAACCTTCAGGATAATACCCATTAATTTAGTTCCACCACATAAATAAAAGCTACTGAAATGAGTTCTGATAAGAGTATGCTCTTCCTGACTGCCACAAAATCCTGAGAATTCACTCTCACCTTGGTAGTCCCTGTTCCTCAACAAAACATTTATTTGCATTAACCAATACAAAGCGGGGGGGAGTGCGGACCACAGAGAAGACAAAAATCAAACACAGACTTTCCAATGTCACTTTAAAGTCATCATATTTGACTGAACAGTTACAGCATTTGTCACACTTGATAGTTTCTCAATATCTAAAATTTAATTTGTTATAAAACAATACTGAATTGCTTCTGTTACTCTAATACATAGTAAAGGAAGGGCAATCTGGCAAGCTAAAACAAACCCACAATGACAAAAGAGCGAGCCTAAGTTCTACATTAGGACATTTCAAAGATGAGTGAAAAAAATATACACACTTAGTACCTTTTCAGAAAAATACTGTAATTCTTTAAAGCACCACCTTGGTTTAGTTCATGTTTTATAAAATGTAATCAAACTGGAACATGAAAACATACAAAAAGCCCACTGAAATTTGCAGTAAGCTTACCTACAAGAATACTGCTGATATACACTGGTTCAATGAAGTGACTCAGCAACGCTCCCTGAATACCAACCACTTCCCATTTTGTTAATTTGTCACTAGCTGACATACTGCTTGCCCTAATGGTTTTAGGTGGACAGCAAGCAGTTAGGTAAATCTTGCCTTCTATCGCAACATGGAGGCTCAGTTCTTCATTAGTTTCATATGCAGATATAGATTGTGGATTAAGATGTCTAAAGTAAGACAAGAAAATGAATTTCAGTAAGAAAGTACTCTAATCAGAGATTATTGTAAAGTGGTATCTAATACTGTTTCTCAGAAAACAATTATCAATAGATCTGGGCCATTACATTATGTTCAATATTTTTAAATTTTAGAAACACCACCTTCAGCTGCTCAAGTGACGAGAATACTGACATCAGTATTAAAATAAGAAATAGTAATTCAACCCAATCTTAGCCATCAGTTGTGCAAACATTAAAAAAGATCAGTATATGCTACAAACAAGCTATCACTTTGCATCTACTTACACTATAACCGAAGTTACTTCGAGGCTGTTCACCTTGTGAAAAAGCAGCTGTAAGGTTGTTAAGGTCCTTTAAAACATAAATTACATTGCAATTCTTCAAAATATTTAAAACAAGCAGACGCAATACATTAGGGAGACAAAACAGTGATTGTTCTGAAGCAAAACACAGTTTTTCCTCTTAACTAAAGGAGGATAACAAGCCAAAGCCTGAAGTTTTGAGCTAACTCTCCCCAATTTTATCATACAATGTTATGATGAAAGGTGCTTTTGCTTCACTACATTATTATAAAGCAATCATTTAATTTTGGCTTAAGTAACATACTACTGCCTGTTAATAAGTGGCCACATTTTGCTACTCAATGTACTACTTGCAAGTAGCTCCCTTCTAAAAACCATCTTTAAATAACTATCTATATAAGCAAGTCTGCTGTATTAGAAGAAAATAATTCCCAGAGTTTGTCTCAAGAGAGCGCACACCAGCATGGCCAAAAAGTAGGAGAAAAAGTGCTCAATCTGTGATCTGTCAACTATTATATAGTAGCTTACAAACTGTGTCCAGTCTCATCAACTATTTCCTTGTAAGAGCAGGCTATGACACTAAAAGTAACATAAAACCCTGTGCAATTCCAACAGGAGGGGCTCCCTCAGTCAGCACAACTTACAATGAACCAACTGTGACTTCCAGTTCACAAGTCTGCCCCTCGAGCACCCCAAATACAGTACGGAAGCAGCTAGCTATCTTGTATATATGAAAACATTATGACTGTATGACATTCAGGGACATTATTCCACTACAAGGGACACAAAATAACATTATTGGTAATAACTTCGTAAACCAGTGACTGCTGCTGTTCAAAGGTCAAAACTACTAAAAAAACCCCAAACCTGCTCGAAATTAACAAAAGTTAGAAGTGTAAAGGTAAGCACAGGAATGTATTTGTCCCATCAAGTTTCTCTCGTTACCTTTTTTCTGCAAAGCAGAGCAGAAGCCTGTTATTTCAATTCAAAGCTTTCTATACTCTAGTCCTGTGGTGCAAAGGATGACATTAAGTCACCACATCCACTGGCTCAGTGGTTAAATTAATGATTTATTAGTATTTTAATAGTATCTTGGCAGGGGGGTTAACAGGTAAGCGGCTATCTGTAATAAACAAAGCATCGTCCTCAAGCTATAACCCACATAAAAGTTTTTTGTATTGACATGTTGAGCTGTACCTCATACACTTACCGTTACCACCCTGCACATTAATGCTAAAAAACATTTTAAAAAAATGCAGAACAGCCCCCCCACACACTCAGAAATGCGTAACAATGCATATTTTCCACATGCACAATGTGTTCGTTACTGCAAACAAATTAATCTTCCACTGCAGCATCTCTGAAAATACCAAGGTACTTACATCTGTGATTTTAACTGAGCAGTTCCCTTTGGAAGTTGATTCATGTAGAGAAAGATAGTTGTATTTTGCTTTAGGGCGAGCAACTTTGAGCCAGGTGCTGTGCAAAATATGGATTTCTCTGTCCTCAATGGATTTTCATTATAGAACAGCAAAAGATGTCTATAAAAATATCTAAAAGAAAGTGTTAAGTAATGGTATATGTGAAAAATGCTACTTTATTTAAAAATACATGGACATCCACATTTAACTCACATGATTTGAAAATAATCCAGAAAGTTTATAACTACAAAATGCAAGTGCACTTATATTTACATGTGCAAAAGCAAAACTGAGAAGCACTGGCTGCAAGAGAACTGGTAACTATTAGCACACGCATTCTCACCTAAGTAGAGAACGTCTTGCAATAACAATGGCATGGCTGTCATGCAACACTCTTCCGCAAGGTTGAAAGCACTGACTGTAATTACATTCTCCTGTTCCTAGAGCTACGACTTCATACTGTCCACCTAAAAAGAAAACATGTATTTTTACGTAACTGTGGTGGGTTAACCTTGTCTGGCTGCCAGGTGCCCACCAAGCTGCTCTCTCATACCCCCAGCAGGTTAGACTCGATGATATTAAAACCCTTTTCCAACCTAAATTAGCAGGTTAGACTCGATATTAAAACCCTTTTCCAACCTAAATGATTCTAAACTTAAATGAAAAAATAAAATGAAAAAGCTTATAGATCAAGATAAGGACAGGGAGATCACTTGCCATTTACCATCGTGTGCAAAATAGACTTGACTTAGGGAAGATTAATTTAACTCATTGCCAAAGAGAATTAGAATAGTGAGAAACAAAGGCAAAACTAAAACCACCTTCCCCTCACCCTCCTTTCTCTCAGGCTCAACCTCACTCCTGACTCTTCTACCTCCTCCCCACCTGAGTGGTGCAGGGGTGTGGGGAGGTATCAGTTCCCAACACTTTATCTGGGCCTCTCCTTCCCTGCTCCAACATGGGACAGTTCTTCACAGATCACTCCAGCCTAGGTCCTTCCCACTGGCTGCAGTTCCTGAAGAACTGCTCCAGTGTGTGTCCTTTCCCCAGGGTGCAGTCCTCCAAGAAGACAATGCACCGGTGTAGGTCCCCCACAGGGCCACAGGTCTTGCTAGAAAACCTGCTCCAGCGTGGGCCCCTCTCCACAGATCACAGCTCCTGCCAGAAGCCTGCTCCTGTGAGGGTTCACTACGGGCTTCAGCTTCCTTCGGAGAACATCCATCTGCTCTGGCCTATACCGATCTATGCAGCCTTACTATCTATACAGCCTTACTCCTCTTTGAGACAGCACAAGGAAATGCTTAAGTACATCTCAAGTATTCGCATGACTGTAGCACAATCATGCGAGAGAGCCATTGGAACAGAGTCATGTCAAAGAAGGAGAGTTACCCTTTATGTTTATTTACGAAATGAAAAAATGCATTAATCGAGGCTCTCTGGGAACACAGTCTAGGCTTTCCACTCCCCAATACTCGGGATCGAAACAGACTTGCCTTTTTCAATGATGAAGGCAGCCAGTGAACTGCCACAACTTTGGTACTCAGGATGGTTGGTAGTCAGGCTGTTAAATACTTCTTTAATTGCTTCTGAAAGTTTTTGATATATAAGCTGTCTTCCTTCTAAATGAAACAATAAAAGCCAGCAAGAAACAAATTGGCAGGGGGAAAAAACCAGACATGATCAACCACTTGCCCAATTATAAATCTAAACACAAGGTGAAAGCACTACTATCAACACACACTTTTGGGATTCTGAAGATTATCAGGATGGACGTGAGTAAATAAAGGACAAGAATATCTAAACACTTTATGCTTTTATTATTCATGATAATAAATCAAGGACATGGATCAAGTTTGATCACCTATAGCACACAGTATTTCAAGTAAGGACAGAAATATTGTTTCTATTTCTGTCACTGATTCACAACTGAAAAAAATTGCTTGAATTTAAGTTGTGACCATATGTAGAACCAATGGCCAATCTCCTCCTTTAGTGACAGTGTTCTTCAAAAAGATGATGTTTAAAATAACGGTAACTTCATAGTCCATGGCAGGGGGGTTGGAACTCAATGATCTTCAAGGTCCTTTCCAACCTAAACC